AAAAATTATTTTCTACATCACCATGTGCATGTACACTATATCATGACATATACATAATGATTGGAACAACCATTTGATTTTACATTGATTTAATAATTTAATGACTGGCGGTATCTCTGACAGAGTAACAACCTTTACGTTCCGTGTAGCATCTTGTTTTTGTGCAGAGCGATCAGATTTTTTTCGATGGATTGTTCACCTAGTAAACAATTTAAGGTAATTTTGTAGCTCTACACTGTATTTCCAGAAAGTGTGAAGTTTGTTTGCAGTCTAACTGTGTCACTAATGCAAGATTTTGCTCTAAATTTTTATAGTAATTAGATCGACCCTTCGATACTAATTAAGCTCATAATAAACCTTAATCAAGCCTCGTATATCTTGATATGAGCACTTTTTGAAAATCTTCTATCATTAAGCAATAATCAGATGAAACTGTCATCGATTCTGCAAAATGTTGATATCACTTTTTTCCAAAACTTTGAGGTATCTCGGATCATGGCCATATTTCGCAGAGCGGCATTAAAAATTAAATCTTAACATCAACAGGTGGTCTTAGGAAAGTTTAGTCAAGCAACTTCACTGGTATACGCTAAACGTTCACACTATTTTGGTTTATCTGAATAAACAGTCATGTGTACCTTGATCTTGAAGAAATTTGATGTAATCTTCATCGCGTACTGTAGAACTCATAGCGACGCGAAGGTCAAGGTCGGAAGAGTACAATAGTTTCTCAAAATATTTGGCTAAAAGCCTCTAGAAACTCTTACAGTGACGACCATATTCATTTCCAGTGTAGATGTTATCGAAATGTTAGGACATCTTCAATGTGTAAAAAGAAAAACGACAAAACTTTGTAGTAAACATTGAATATGCATCGAACTTAAAAAGACGCCATTTTGGTTGGTAGGCTAATCCTCGATCAACCAATCAAAACCAATAGCACAAATAAGAGCTTATTGGTCAGTTTAAATCACCTGGTAGTTTTCTTCCTTATAATTGGTTCTTTCTTAAGAAAACACAACATTTCGAATTTCGGCGGCATAAAGAATGGTTTTCTTTCGTTGAAAAAGTTCCGAAACCTTCTCTTTTACTTCCCATAAACCGCAAAAGGGCTTATTATAAATCGAAACTTGGCTCCTTCTCTTTCATGTCTTGTAAAAATGATAATAGTTAAGGTGTTTTTATATCAACATAAACTATTTTAAAGAAATCGCCTCTCGTAGATTAGTCCCTTTTTTTAGCGAAGACAGGAGATCAGTAATTAAAAGACACAGTAATAAATGTTTCTGATACTTCGTATTCATTACTACATCTGTAAAATAAAGTTCACATTTTTAACAAAAAAATCTCGCGGGAAAATAATCAACGTGAAGTCGAGGCCACTAATGAAACTCTCCCTGTGATTGGTTTATTTTTAAACACTGCTGCAACGAACAACCTGAAACACCGTGTCGATTTCCATTCAAGAGCACATATGCACGACATCTGCACATCTAGCATTCTTCCGTTATCCAAAAGTAGTTACTCTGTTATAAAACATGTTCTCCAAATCCAAGAGATTTCAAGAGCCTGGTAAGCGGTAGAGAGGAATTTTATTTTCCGTAAAGAGTTTGTAGAGCAAAATGGGTACTTCGGTTTTGCTGATTGTCCGGTTTGCCTTGCTTGTCTTGTCCGCCTTGATATTGTATAGTTTCTGAATTGAAAATTCTGTCTTTGTGCTACAAAGCAAATAATACAGTTCCTTAACCCCTTATGACCTCGGCATGGATTATAGAATAATGTGATTCCTTGCCCTACAAACAAATGAGCTTTAAAATGTACTTGCTTGCTATATGAGTAACTAAGGTGTTATGCAGCCTTCGCACGATCTGTTTGGAGAGGCTGAACTCTGATATTGTTTCCCGCCTTGTTAGATTCTAAGTATTGATAAGATTCTATGTATTAATGAAACTAACGTTAGTTAAGAAATGGATTTGTCAGGTGGAAATCAAGTTTAGTGCTTGCAAAAGTTGTGAGTGTGCTGGGACAAGGTCAGCCATCTTTCCACACCATTTTTTTTTCGGAATTTTGAATACAGGAGTATTTCTTTGTAGTTTCTCAGGCACCTCCTGTGGGATTATATGATGTAAAGGGTCAAACACAAGTATCTGCAGCAGCTGGATTTGGCAAAGGAAAGAGATTTACTGAACTGAAAGGTAATTCTTGTATGTGGAAGTACCATGTGCAGCAAAACAAGCTGATACTTGAGTGTAGCGTTCATCACAAAGAAATATTTATGTGCAACACAAGATCTGTTTTCACTGATATCCAGGGATTATTCACCTTAAGACTAAAAACCTTCTCCAATTAAAGTCTCAACATTTTGTCTTTTACCAAAAGAATATCTTTAATGCTTGGGTCGTGTACTGTCTAAGGGAGGGTATGGTGGTTTTGGAGGGTAGATAGATTAAGGGGATCTTTATGGGAAAACGAAATGCAATTGAACTCATTTTGCACTGCAAATTCACCCTTATTCTGGAATTGTCTAACCAAAGTAGCTAGACATCTCTCTTACACCTAATTTTAAGTATTGATGTATAATTAGTAAAATCTCAGCTTGATCATTAGAAAAAATGAAGCTAAAAAAATCTGGTTATGTCAGTTTTCTCTTGACAGAGGTATATTATCCAATGGAACTGGGGTAATAGAGACTCTGTGACAGCATGGTCATAGCAATGATAGGGATAAAAAAACATTTGGGTCAGTCGTGACAGTGTTATCAGTGTTCTTAGCCAAGGCAATCAACTTTCACAGTGCTTCTTTCCACCCAAGAGAATGAATATTTTTGCCATACCTAAATTTTTGGTTTCACACATGAGACTGATTTTTTTGTTTCTGTCAGATTCAGGTTTGTCTACTGCAACCTGTGGGAAAAGTTTTCTTGGTGAGTAGGATACACTAATGTCTTTAGCTGAGTGATTTTACTTCCAAAGTTATGTGATTCAAATTGTTACATAGTTATGTTGAAAAGGAATTTCCACCCCACAAAGTTAAAAAATAACACCTCGTATCACTGACTCACTTATCACCACAAAGTGGTTGGTGTATAATAGCTCTGTACTGCCACCATTCAGCTCTTTTGGCGAGCTGCTGCACTATACCCTCCATGATCAATCAATGTTCAATCCAGCCACTGATACCTCAGATATGGTGAGAAACCAAGCCAATACGAGATAAAAACTGTAATTGTTTCAGTCCATAAGCACACAAGAGCATCTAGGGCACCTGATATCTTTGATATTACTCGCCCTCTCATTCCAAAGATCTCATTAGTAATTCTCCTTACTGTCTGCTGTACAGTTCTTATTATGTAAGTTTGGAGAATTTGGAATTGGATCAACTGATAATCCCCTAATTGATGTTTTTCTTTATTCTCGTCCCTAATATCTACTTGATATTGTGTTGATATTGTAAGGAGAAATTCTGTATTGGTCACTCATGATAGTTAACCCTTTCACTCCCAAGATCTAATTAGTAATTCTCCTTACTATCTGCCATACAATTCTTATGATGTTAGTTTAGAGAATTTGGTGTTGGATCAACAAATAATCCCATAATTTATATTCTTCTCTATTCTCATCACCTACCTGCTTGATATTGTATTGATATTGTAAGGAGAAATTCTCTCTTGGTCACTTGAGGGGGTAAAAGGGTTAAAGAGTTAGGTGTTGAGTTACAGGAAATGTTTAGGGATGTCTGCTCATGGATTTCTCTGAACATGGTCTTTGTTTTCCAGTGTTTTTGTGGTTAATTTCTACTGAAATACATGTAGTCCTGTTGAAATAGTAGATTCTTTGTTTGATATTCTCTCACAGATATAAGTTCTTGTAGCACATCAAGTCGGAATGACAGTAAATGCAGTGTAAGTGGAGGTTCTCTATAGATTGTGGCTTTTTTTGAAAGTTTTCAACATCCATTTAAGATTTCAGAATTTACAATAAAGCAAATTACTTTCACTCCAAATGTAGCAATTTGCCACACCTCTTCCCTTTAAAAAGAAGAGAAACATATCAACTTCTACACCAGACACCAGAGGAAAAGATCATTTTAAGAATAATGCAGCAGTGGAAACTGAGGTAGGTTGTGTACAATGTAATATATTGCAGAACTAAATCCATACCATGTACTGTATATTTAATTACTGGATGACAGTTTAGAGGTAAGGCAATGACTCACATTGTGGCTTTTGGTGAGTTTTTTAAAATTAGGCTCCTCCTCTTCAATCACTTCACTTGTTAAAAGCCTAGTTAGAAAATGAGAACCCTCTTAAAGGGCATGGCAGCTTAGAGCTTTCGCTGCAATGCTACACTGCATGTGAGTTTTGTAACTTTTGGTGATGTTTACATGATCACATAGGTGTCAGAACTTTTGTCAGAGAAGATAGAACTTGAGGACAAACTATGTCAGGCTCAGCAGGATCTTCAGCACTTGGAAAACAAGCTTCAGGTACAAGAAGTTGAATTTGATGTCTGCATTCAAACTAAGTGGTCCATCCACGAAGGGCCTATCCTGATTTCTGTAACATGAAGCAAACATGAGTGTTGCTTCCCCTCCCAGATGGGTTGTTAGCCCTGAGGAGGTTGCCCTCCCTCACAAAAATTTGCCAGGTTTGTCAGCAACTGTCTTAAATACATTCAAACCTTAATTACTCCGACTTGTGGGGACTGGTCTGAATAACCCCAGATAACATTCAACAGCTTTGGAAAGTGGAAAAATTCAGTTCCAGCAGAAGTTTCATTACATTTGCTTTAAGGATTGCAAATGTAACTGATTAATGATAAGACCAGAGAAGCGAGTCTGGACAAAAAAAAAATTCAGATAATCAAGGTCCAGATAATTGAGGTTTGACTGTATTCCGTTTTGGTGAAGGCCAGTGTGAGGGTAAAGTCTTGCCCTAGAACACAACACAGTGACCCAGCCAGGTCTTGAACTCAGACCTCTCCACACAGAGTCAAGCCTGGTAACCATTAGGTCACCCTCATAATTTATCAAAATCTATATCTTAACCCTTAACACCTAACATCATTCTGCATATTCTCCATACTGTTCTCTATACTTTTCCTAAACTGCTACCAGGGGGAATTTGTTTAATAATCAGGAGCTTCTTTAGTTAGTGATCACTTCCTTTAATCTCCCCGCTATTGATGTTTGATTCAGGGGTGACATTGTAAGGAGAAATTAGATGCTAGTCACTCTTGAGGGTGAAAGGGTTATACAGCAAGCTTCATGATAGACAGGCTGATAATGGCATGTTAGCAAAGTAACATCTTCCCAACAAGTAAATTGGAAAGAACAATGAACTCGATTTTTGAGTATTTTCCTGTTTATTTTTTACAGTCTACCTTGCAAGAAAAAGGTAGCCATGAATCTTCCATTGCTGACCTTCATAGACAACTCAAAGAATTAAGGCAAGAAAATGATATGCTGCTTGAGAAATTACAAGTAAGTGAAACAGGCAACAATTGGATCATTTGTATGTTGTGTTTATCTCATAAAGTTATATATTACTTGAATTCTGAAACAGGTCATCACAACAACCAACAATAGTATAGAATCATTAAAGGAGGAACTAACTGCAGTCAAGCAGCAACTACGAGATAAGGATGGGGTGAGTCGGAAATTAATCAGTGAAAGTGAAAATCCAGGTTTTTTTTTCGTTGGATTTCAAGAAGGGAATCAAAGAAAAAACGAAGTTCATAATGTTATTATTAAAACTCTAGTTATTGAGGGGGAAATATCTTCTAATTGTTTGCTTAAATGTCTGTCTTCATTCTTTCTGGCTCACCACTGTGAAGCTTGTTCAAAATGACTAGAATACCATTTAGTGTTGTGTATGTGTATGATCAGGTCCAAAAAACCTAATTAAACATAAAGGAAGGAAATCTGTTTACTTTTTCTACCAGTTAACTCAGTCCAGTCCAATATGTTATAACTATTATTATTAAACTGATATGATTTGATAATATTTGGGTAATGCTTTCATATGAAGTTTTTTATATTGGAGGTTTGTGCTTTATGTGGGTGAAATTTGACAAACATGATTTGTTTTAACCATAGGTTATATCCAGTCTTAAATTTGAACTGAGCTGTGCAGCTCAGAGCTCAAGAGCTGACTTGGATTTGGAACAGGACAGAAACAGAGTTCTCAATGAGAGAATTTCACACTTAGGTTTGTTGATGGAGACACTACTGAATAGACTTGAAAAAGCTTGTTGTCTTGTTGTCGTACTGCATATTGTATGAAGCAGAAAGTAGGCAATTACTATATGGCAGTATAAGGTTCCATTGTTCCCAAATTAAATGTATCAGTGTTCAACATAAAATATATTCTCTCCACAAAGTTGCCAACATTAACAAATAAGTATTGTATCTTTAGTTACTTAAATTCATTTTATAGAAATCGGTTGCTATCAAAATGTTATTTATTCTTTCCTCCTCAATTTGGCTGAGTCAATAAATATTTTTTTTAAAAATTGATGTCATGTTTGTAATACTTGCAAGTGCTTTAGATAATCCCTGATGAACTGTTATAGTTTATGACTCAAGGATAATGGTTTTGCTTTTAGAGAAGACAGTTTCCGAGGTAACGCAGGACAGAGATGAAGTAGAAAAAGCAAATCAACAACTCCATGGTAAGTGATAGTTTTCCTTTAGGAATTGCAAAGGTTTTCACACATCTTGACATTCACTCATCCCTTTTCCAACTGACCAAATTTTTAGAACTGGTTGCAAGTCTTAGAAGAGATAACATGGATTTCAGAACAAAACTTGATGAAGCTGAAGAAAAACTAGAGGTATGCATAGTTACAAACCTTCAATAATCCAACTGGGGTATCACATATCTTACAAAAGCTTGCTATTTCTACCACTTCTACTATTCAGGAAAGAAGACCCCTTGTCAAAGCTCCTCATTATTTTTCCCATTTCATAGAGGTCATACTAATAAATTTTACCTGAATGTAACTTAGGGTGTCTGTCAGAAATTGAAGACTGCCATAAAAGAAAATGAGGACAAAGTTCTTCCTCTTGAAGAAATGTTGAGCAAAGAGATGCAGGTATGAAATTAAAAGTGTTCATACACTCACTACCTAGAGTGTGATAAGCACCGCTTGTAAATTTGTTGAGATATCTGTTCCCGTTTCCTCTGTACTCAGTGTTTTGCAGTCAATTAACAACAACGCATCACTTACAAAAGCCAGTCCCAATATTCATTATTAATGACTATGATGAAGGTGTTGCAGATGTGCAGTGCCCAGGTTCTGCTGTTTGTTGTAACCCAGACAGTCTGAAAAATAACTGGTTTCAAAAGTCTGTACAATTCACAGTCTGAGATAAATACTTCCAATTTAAGTTATGCACTCCAGATAAAGGAGATGCATATCAAATGAATGCAATTACTTTTGTGTTAACTTTGCAACTCAACTCACTTACAAGATAATATGCAATTTGCAAATGTCTTTTATCTCTAGAAAAGTCAAGAACTTGGTGAAAAGTTGGAGTATTCCTTAAGGCAGAGTGAGGAGAATTTTACCAAAGCACAGTCTACAATTGTCCAACTACAAGAATCAAAAGAAAATTTGGAAAACAAAAATCGTGATTTGGAGGCTAAACTGTTTGAGTTAATTGAGAAAGAACAGTCTGCAGAAGAAAGGGCAAGGTACTTTGTGACACATTTTGACAAGAAGATTCACATAGACTTACATTATAAAGACAAAATCAGTCCAAGCTGATTGAATCATAAATTGGTTGGTTTTTCTTTTATGTCAGTAAATTTGCAAATAAAAGCTAATTTAAGTTTTTAATTTTTTTTTTAATGATGTGACCTCTATAGTGGTCCTAACAAAGTTGTGAGTTTTTCTCTCAAAAAATGTACAGGATCCCTTATATAATTATACTATTTTACTATTTCTGATTTTTGAAACTGTAGGCATTTGTCTGTGGAGAACATTTCAATTGAAAGTAGGCTTCAGAAGTGTGAAAGTGATTATGAGCAGAGACTGTCCATTGCCAATGATCAAGTGGAATCATTGCAAAAAGAACTTCACAGGTAACCATATCAACAACTTATTTTAGTGCCCATTGCCATCCAGTGGTGTCTTCGTAAGACTGGTCTCTCGTGAGTCCTTTCTCCATGAGATGCCATGGAATGGTACTCCATCTGTTTCAGCCTCAGGCCACCTGCAGTCATTTTGATAAAGTCTTCCCTGGCATGTGGTCTTTTTCTCCCTCTTTTCCCGTTCACTTGTCCATCTAGAATATCTTTACAAATCCTGGGTTGATAAATGATATGACCACTGTTATATTTTCATTTGTTTGATAACTCTTTGTGTCTGTCCTTTTCTGCCCAACCAGCAAAATATCCACATTTCAAATGCCTCCATTCAATATTCAAGTGCCTATTATCTCTTTGATACTGGTTTGGTAGTAGACAGCCATTGTTTCTTTGCATCAGGGAAGTTTGCATCTATTGTAGGTATGAGGAAATGATGACAGAGAATGTAAGATCACTGACTGACAAATATCAAGATCTAGAGGATTCTTACAGTAAGCTGTTATATAGTTAAAAGTTTGATTAGTTTTTGGTAGTTGGGAGAAAAATTGAAATGAAAGATGTGAACAAGTCTGTCATGTTATTAATTTGCATAATTTACCTTAGGAAGTCAACTTCTTAATTAGGCACTGACATTTTTTATTTTAGCTTGCTTTCAATCTGAGGCTGAGAAAGAGAAGAACTTGATTTTAGCTGAGTTAGAAGTAACAAGACAGTCTTTTCAGAAAAGGTAAGGCTTGTTTCACTTTACAGTGAGGAGTTCTGTGAGTGAAATGGTTTTTGTAAGCTTGAACCTGTCCAGCATCAAAATCCAGTGTCTCAGATGTGCTAAAATTTTATGGCCAGTGCATATTTGGCGTCGTAGAAAACATTTCAAATACAAGAAAAGGTTTATGTTGAGCAGGAATTCTGTCATTGCCGGAAAAAATATCATGAGAGTTGTGCCTGCTGTTTAGTCGGCAGGAAAGTGATCAGCAACTGAAGACTTGTGTCTACCTCACTCAAAAGAATGAACAGCTCCAAGAGGAATGTGATGGACTTAGTCAACAAGTGAATTGTTGGAAGGTACACTATCAACCGTCTTGTGTTGCGTTATGATTATTTTTTTAACAAAAAGCTATGCTATATTACCTTGACGACCCCAGTTTACCCCTCAAAGTCTTAAAGCAACAGTTAGAAACAGTCTCTTTGGAAAGTTTTTACACTTCATTTATCTCCTTCTGTAGTTAAACGCCGTGAGCTTGGCAGGCTTCCTGGTCAGGGATCATTGTCAGAAGTGCAAGCTCATGTGAAATGTTGAAACTACAGCTGACGTCTTTAAGCTTTTGATCAGTCTTGCATGCGTAATAACCCTAATAGCCCAGTTTTGAAGCGGTTGTTTTCGAGCGTTGCCTCACCTCGTCCTCTCTCTTTATATATTTCCTTTCGCTGATCCAATCAGTGTTGAAAATTGCTTGAGATGGGCACTCATGACTGGGTTGCAAAGATTTGCCATCTATAGCGGCGGTATTTTTTCCGAAGGTTGGCTGGACTCATGGAAAGTCCCAGCAATGCCCAGGCACCAACCTTCTATTTCAACGAGGCAGTGATTGACAGACAAAAAAGACAAGTTCTTTTTTATCCATTTAGCTAGTAACAATCTGAGCCCAATCTGACGCTATCCAAAAAATTGATCGTTATTCACCGGAAAAAAGATTTGTTCAATGGAACAGCGTTATCTATCTCTCGAACAACCGAGGCCTGGGTTCGATTTCCGCGTTTACCTGTGTCCTCTAGAAGAAATGTCTTGTATGAGAGGAGCTCGGACAAATTTCCCGAAGAGCGCTTGGTAACCGGGCTTAAACACTCTGACGTGCTAAAAAAAAATGTTTATTATCATTTAATTTTACTGCTGATTTAGAATGAAGCTGACTCTTTGCAAAATAACTTATCCAACTGCCAGAGAGAAGTCGAGCGCACTAAGGTAAGCTTGGTTTGATCTTTGCACAGCGTCGAGCGAATTTGACAAAAACGTACCTCAGTAGGGGGGGGGGGTCTAAGCGCGGAAATACCCCCTCTATTTTAATGAAAAGTTACCATCTGGCATGACCCCTAAATCCCGGTAAGACGCTGGTTTAGACTATCGCCCTCTATTGTAAGCTCCTACGCTACCCCGCTGTGTCAGGAAAACTTAAGATGCAACCTCGGTGAATATCTTGTTAATTCTTATCCGCTGGAAAACAATTAAAGAGTCAATTTTATACTTGGTTCAAATTTCATTTTCTTTTGTTTTTGGGTATTGTTGTGTATGATAATGAGTTTGAAACAAAGGAAAATAAAATTTGAACCAAGGATAAAATTGAACCACAACATTTACAAATGATTGTTCGTAAGCACGATTTCAACTTAACACGGTCAAATGAAAGGACGCATGGGTAGAGTTTGAGTTAGCCGATCGTCATCGGCTGTTGACAAGGCCCGAGCCAGTGAGGAAATTCGAAATTTCCTCTAGATAGTGAGTAGTTTTCAATGCTAGTGCCTACATTTTATGTGTTAACTTCTTTCATTGAATGCCTTTTTAGGCTGAGTTGGAAGTGGCCAAAGAAGAACTGACAAAAAATATGGAAGAAACAGGACTAGCCAAGGCTTGTCTGAGAAAAGCACTAGACGAGGTACCTCCATAGAGTTGTCATCGTTGATAAATTTCTGATTTCTCCATTCTTTCCTTCGTATATGTCACGTTAGCGAATGAATAGAGTTTAACATCGGCTTGGACTGATTTCATTTCCTGTTCTCTTCCCAAGGCTAACAACACCATCGATAACCTCATCAAGAGAGAGGAGGCCTTATCTCAGAAATTACAACTCATGGAAAGGTTTGTCTTTGTACATTTACTAATATCAGCCCTGTGGCTCTTTGTTGCAGACGCGGTGTGATCAGCGCGCGTGATCAATGCGTGGAACTCCAGATCGAGAGGTCTAGGTTCTAGCTCAGGCTGGGTTATTGTGTTCTGTTTTCTACGTTCTTGCAAATAAACTTTACCTCCTTAGCGCCTCTCTCTACACAAGAGTGTAAATGGGTATAATTAAACTGTCAGGGAAACGAGGTGAAATCCTGGGGGGGGGGGAATGCACCGACACCATTATACCCAGCAGTACCCCCAATCGCACTGAGATACGTTCCCGCGGTTTCTGCCAGTGGGCTCAAGAGCAGACTTCCCTTAGCTCTGCTGGCTGATAAATAATCGCAAGCCGACATAAATTTTTATTGATCTTCAGATGATTAATAGGGTCTCAATGGGGAGATGGCTTTTATTTTCAAGTTTGGTCATTTTAAGGCTGACGGTTAATTTTTTCCGTCACTGTTAAAAGAAAACAAGTTTAAGGTTTATTTTTTTTGCGAGTAACTGTGAAAATATGTCTATGGATTTTTTTTACCATTTTACGGTTTACGGTTAACCCCATTGAGACCCTCTTTTAAATAAGATCCTTTCTGAGCAGTTTTGTGATCGTCAACAGCAATCAGAAGAAACAAGAGGATGAAATAAAAGCATTCAAAGCTCAGTTAAACAGGTTTGTTAGTTCTTGTGATTGCCTTTATTCGATTCATTCTTCAGTTCAATACCAAGTGGTTATAATGGTTAACTGTTGTATTTTATCCAGTGAAATATGTGAAAAGCAGGAAGTAGAGAGGAAAATGAAGGATGAACTCGAAGGTAAGAATCTTGAACAAGCGTTACCATTATAGGTAGGAACAAATAAAAAATGCCAGCCTACAGCCAAGGAAAATTTTTGGATGAATTGTTTTCTCGTGCAAGGAGAAGCAACTGTTGGACAATCGTGTTTAGAGACGTCGGCGACCTGCGCCGAGTCTACTTTTGTGATCATGATTGATTGAAGATGAAATTCTTGTTTTGACAAAAAGCCGAGTTTCGTCTGAAAAAGCTATGATGAACAATGTATGGATACCATTGGCTACAATTGTTTTCTCTCTGGGAACACGTGATCCAAAATTATTGTACGTTCTGCTGAACCGATACCTTGCGTTCGTTTCCTATCCTTTGATAATCAACCAAAATACATTTGATGCACCCGACGTGGGTATGAAACCACTATAAGATAAACTTATCAACAGTCTATGAATTCATATGAGTATTTAATCTCTCCAAACTGTATCATCTTTAAAACAATTTAAAGGTACCAGTCAATAAACAAGGAATTAGAAGAAAAATTGAGGGAATCCGAAGAGAACTTTACACGGTAAGTTGATTTAAAGCCGAAGTGATCCGTGAATCCATTCGGACTCATCAAGTTTTTTTTCCTAGTTGATAGCGATAGTCGCGGCAAAGGTTAAGGTTGCTGACCAAGGCGTGTTAATTTGAACTTTGCAAATTTAACTTTCTTCAGGAAGCGCACTGCCATTTTGAATCTTTCATTCTCAAGGCATTCAAGGTTTGCTTGCTGAGAGATCTTCATCTTTCCTATTCACTTCAGGCAAATAAAATCATTTGAAGAGAAAGCGGCTAAATCAAAAGAAGAATTCGGAAGGTGCGTATGACCAGATTTTGGTAAAAAAAAATGCCGGTTTGAAATAAGTGTAAAATTCCAATTTTCAAGCTTGCTGTTTTTCTTTTTCTTTTGTTCTTTTCGCTTTTGAAGGCGACTCGTGGAGACCCAAAAGAAGTTATCACAAGCGGAGATAAATTTTGAGAAGTAAGATGTTCATTTATTTGGAAACGTTGATGTTTTCTGTGTAGGAAGTGCTTGATCTTAAGCGAAACACTGCAACAAGTTTCGCACCAACAAACAATAACAAGTTCTCGTATCTCGTTCCTCGGTCCTCGTTTGCCGTTTTTACCTCTTCAATTACATCCATCGCCACATCCATGTTTCAGAATTTATTGTGTACTTATTTGCTTTTTTTCAAAATGCAGTTTCAGAAGCGAACAGGAGACGAAGTCAAAGGAAAAGGATATGGAAATGGAAAGGTATGACATAACGAAAGAAAGACACCTTTTGTGTTTAAACAAATCTTATCATTCTTTCTGAGGAATCTACTGATATGTCTCTAGACTACGTAACAGGGTAGGCCAATGTTTTTGTTCTTAAAAAACTGCAAACTGAGAAAGCCATCTCACGTTTGAATTCAGCTCGGTTTTCAAAGTTAACTTTGAGATGTTTCTATTGACGTCGGGCGAATGGTCAGCTATGGGGTTGTAGAGCAGTTGTTACTGTGCAAATATGAAACTCACGGCCTTCGTTGTTCGTTATCATAATTGTTTCATTTTACTTTGCATTGTCCCTCTGCAGGAAACTCTTTTCAGCAGAAGAAGAAGTAAACAGATTGAAATCGGAACTAAGCAGGTAAGATCTACAGCCGCCAAACAAACTTCACAGTTTTTTATAGAAGAGAATCGTGGTTGATATTTGTAATACTAAATGTCTTACCCCGCTCGTATTGGAATTATATGTTCATTAATAATAGTACGGTCCTGTTTCTTAATCATAAGTTTTGATTACAGGCGGAAGTGAACGACGCAAAGTCCTGTTACAATTTCAGATACAAAATATGAAAACATTTTTGAAACAAAATAACCATTGGCTGAACCTATGATTCTTGTTACATACACCATACTTATCACATGATAATGAATTCAATAGTCAGTAGTCCATATAACAGCGCGCTCAAAGCATGCTTACACGGCAGGCGTATAACGGTTTAACTTCTAGTGCTCAGATTGGTAACCAATCACATTCGAGAATTTTTTCGTAGTTTTGATTATTTTAGTTATATTTTGTAATTTCTGCAGCTTACCAGATCAACATAATCCTTTCTTTTCTGCAGTAGAACAAGCAACGATGATCAGTTGAATGAGTTAAAAGCCCAAATTGAAGTGTAAGTACCCTTAAAAATAGGCGTTAGTTAAGAGAAATACCAACGGTAAGACTTGTTGTTGATGAAGCTGAAGTAGGCCACGCCTCGTTTACAGTTTACTCAACTAGGAAAATTCAAAGCAAAATTTCAAACTTGTCGTTTGCAATCCGTGTGAATCTTTTACATCCCAAATCATTCTGGTTCTTTTTCATCATTCCCATTTTGGTGTCTTTCTTTCTTATCAACCTAGCATTTGACAGTAACTTTGTGTGCTGCTATTTTTGTTTCTTCGTGTTCTAGATGGCGAACTAAATACGAAGATCTGGTCCAAAAGATTGAGCCCTTCAAGGTCAGGTCATGCTTTAAAACTCTACATCACGGCAACCGAACTCTCCTTGATAAATCTAGAAAGGCCCCTGAGGTTAACAACTCAATAAAACATGACCTTTGCCTAGAAAAAGTGTTGTAACGATAGATTTCTGTTAGTAATTTTGGACCAACAGGCTTAAGTATGTTTGAAGAAGGGGCTTGACTTGTCTTTTTACTGCTATGAGGTCATTCGTGTCATCATTCAAAAATTTTGTTATAACAGTAAATGAACATTTGTTTCGCTTCTCAAGAGGTATTAGTGACGCTTAGTTTAACTGTCGTAGGATCAACTGGATGAATACGAAGCTGAAAGAAACGCTCTCCTCTGTCAGAATAACCAAGCAAAGGACGAGGTAAAAGATGTGTGCATCGCCAAGCCTTACCTGCGATCAGGCCTTCTTTTTTTCTGGGTGCACGATGGTGTATTTAGGAGCCTGAATAAAGAACACTTTATCGCAGGTTATGCCAGGTCTCACCACTAACATATGGACTGATATATGAATGAGAGATTTTGATTATATATTTTTTACTTTTTTAAATTCCTGATTCATTTACTTATTTTTTCAAAGAGCGGTGAGTGGGCAGTTAACTTATGAGGCTCTTGTGGTAATAGGGCTTGCTCACTTTCTTTTCTCACCC